TTTGTAGCCTCCAATTGAAACATGGGACGAACTGAGAGGACTTATCAGAGAACGCTTTGTGCCAGGTACTATTTCTCGATTTCTTTTATGGCCTCAATCGCGAAATTAAGCACGAAATTGAACTTTGTCCATCCGTGGAGCTTGAGGAGGTGTTAGGAATGGCAAAAATATCTGTAACCGTGGATATCCGCTCGAATCCAACCTAATTGGGTAGGGTAAAATCCAAACCCGAAGGACTTTTTGTGGGTACGGGTAAAACTCGAACCCAAATATTGCGGGAAATGGGTGGGCATGGGTTTCTCATTATCCAACCCGAACCCGCCCGATTATACACATTCAAATATTTTGTCTAGAAATAATCATTATTTTTCTCTAACATATTTAATATTTAGCATATAACTATAGTATTTTCATGAAATCGTATTGTTTTAATTAATATTCTTCATTCTAGTGAATTATTGTTGTACTTTTCCTCTTACGTAATGTGAGAATACGCGGGAATGTTAACATATTGGTTGGACTTATGAAGAAAAATTATTACCCATGGATAACCGTGGATACCAGAAACCTGAACGAGTATGGGCATGGTTTTAATTTTCTACCCGTTTCTTATGTGGGTATGGGTATGGGTAAAACCCGAATTACTTTGAGTATGGTAACAGATATGCACTATCCGCACCCGACCCGACCTATTGCCATCCCTTGGAGGTGGGACTCCTTGTAATCAAGGGGGAGAGGCAATAGAAATTCAGCTTTTGAAGAAGGTATGTGCCTTCAACAAAGTATGCTCTAGAGACTGTCCCCGAGACCAATCACCAACTTACTAGGTCGGAGGAAGCTAAGCCAACACTAAGGAACACTGTTCCCGTAATTCAAGGAGGGTCATCGAGCACCATTCAACGTTTCAAATGACTAGAACGAGGCCACTAGGCAAATTAGTGCCCCAACACAAAGGCACTAGTTATGCAAGATGGAGAATACTTCTCGGAGAAAGAAGAATAGAAGCTAATGGAAGTTGAAGTCGATTCGGATGATGATGTTGATGAGGATATCACTGCAAACACCCCTTCTGCAGGAAAATTCCTTGTAGTAAATTGTCGAACACTCTCCATTAAATCTTGAGCTGACATAGAGCAATGAGAGAAGCTATGAAAGTGATCCAAAGCCATTTCAATTGAAGCTTAGAGAGCAAGTCAACTCGTGGAAACAAGAAGGGCAGAAAATGGCTAAGTAATGGAACCGGATCGAGGCACCTACTTTGGAGGCTTCCTCGTTCAGTTTGAGAGACATTGGAGTGAAGTTAGCAGTTGGAGGTGAAAGTCCAAGTCGTTCCGAAGAACGTGAAGGAATTTGTTGAGGTCGAATCAGCTTGGAAGACTTTGAATGAGAGGCTTGAAGTTGGTATGAAGACTGTTTGGTTACTTGCACATGAGCTACTTTGAGCACAAGTTCTTTTCCTTTTCCAGTTGGATTTTCTTCCTTATTTCATTGTTCTAGTTAGTTTTGTTTTCCTTATTAGTCTTGTAATACAGGTTAGTGTCGTTAGTCTCTATTTAAAGGCTTAAAGTCGAGTTATAAGGAGCATCTTTTAATCGATTTAAGTTTAAACCTAGTTATTGAGTTATACTCGTGAATTTTGTGCTTGTTGTTGGTGGAATCCAACCAACGAGTGGTATCTGTATCAATTGAGTGCTTGCACTTTCAATCCCATCGTGTTTCAAAGCCAAAACTCTGTTTTGGTTTGTTATTGATCTGAGTTGAAAATCGATCTTGTGTTAATTGATCTTGTTGGATTTAAATCCAAAGATCTTGAGATTAAGATCATATCACCCAACCCCATTCACCACTAGGTTTTGAGCTCCAATATTGGTATGTCCTCCCCAAGTCCTGATGTCACAAACTCCTGAAAATGGCTAGCAAAAGAAGGCTATTGTCTGTTCAATATAGCTTCAATACCCAAAAGGTTGGAATTGAAGGAAAGAGCACCACTAAACTATGTCTCAAAGAAAGAACTAATATTAATAATCATGCCCAGATCAACATATCCATTTGGGCACAATAGTCCGGAAAAAATCCAAAAGTACCACTATTTAAAAAAAGAATTCCAAAAATACCAAACAACCCCAAAAAATTCCAAAAATACCACCATTTTTCAAAAACCGCCACCCCACCCTGCGGTTTACACGAAAACCGCTTGTCGGGGGCGCGGTTTTCTATGCAAACCGCGGGCCTAGAGGGTTATAAAATTTTTTTGGACCAAACCGCTGAGTGGGGTGGCGGTTTGTCCCAAAACCGCCACCCCACCCAGCCAGTGCAGTCAAAATCGCCCATCAAGTCGTAAAAACGTACGTTTTTACGTATCTAGGTCACCAAAACGTTTAAGTTTCCACTTAAAAACGTATGGTGTTCAAAATCGTTCAAAATCGTAGGTGGAAACGTTAAAATCGATGAAAACGGTTAGAAACTCGTTTTTATACCGTTTTTATGCGATTTCGAACATTGACCAAAAATGGTTAATTTTCATCTAAATGACGCTGTTTTGGCGCTAAAAAAAGAAGAAGAAAAATTGACGAAGGGGAATTGAGGGGTATCGGGCTCATCAGCCGAGTCCCCCAAACAGAAAATCTCACAACCCTAATTCTACAGCTGCTGGGAGCAGCACCACAGGGGCGACTTCTCCACTCTTCACCGTCGCCAGCAATCTCCAGCGTCCGGCAAGCGACGACGACCACCGTGCCAGCAGTCTCTAGCGGCGCCTGCATTCTCCGCCGACGAGGGGGAAGATTGAATTGCAGCTGTCGGAGAAGAACGCTGCAGAACCAGCCAAAGAAGTAAGCCTTCCCTTCCCTAATCTTTTGTCCATAATGTGAAGAACTATCCTCTCTTCACTCCCTCCCTCCTGATTTACTTCCTGCCACCACCGCTGAACCAAACAGCTTCCCACTTCGCCTCAGATCCACCGCCTACAACTTGATTCTGGTCACGTTGTTGTGTTTATTCTATTATTATTCGGTATTCTGCGATGGATCTTGATGATTTTTAGAGAATTTATTTTTTTCATAAAAAGGAATTCTTGTTGTTGCTTTTACATAGACAGATTGCTATTTTCTAGTTCATTCTTTCTTCCCCAAATTGCTTTTGAACATGTAGGGTAATTGCTTTGGCACCCTACTGTCCTGTACCTGTACATAATATATGATTTATTTTCACTTCTCATATTGGGCATTTGGGCTAATTAAGGTTGTACAGGTATGTCGAGTGGAGGTACAGGTACTAGTGCAAGTAACACCGTATGCAATTCTAAAGCAAAGAGAAAAATGCACAGGGAAATCGTCTAGACCCCAGTTGGCAGCATGGTGTAGATGTACTTGGTACTGGGCAGAAAGTGAGATGCAAATATTGTGACAAGGAAGTAGCGGGTATATCTCGCTTCAAACATCATCTTGCAGGAACAAGAAAAAATTATGTGGCTTGTGTTAGTGTTCCTGATGAAGTTAGAGCAAAGATGTTGGAGCTACTTAGTGCAAATGAAGAAGAGAAGGCAACTAAGGCAAGGAAGTTGCATGATCTCGGTTTTAGTCGGGATGGAGATGGTAGTGGTGTTCCAAATGCTGCTAGTGGTAGTGGCACTAGTAAACAAAAAACAATAACTACAGTTATGAAGAAAGATCTCCGGGAGAAGGCTTGCAAGTCAATTGCAGGCTGGTGGTATGAAAATGCAATACCATTCAATGCAACTAGAAGCTCCAAATATGAACAGATGTGGGAAGATGTAGCTCGGCATGGTCCTGGTTTTAGGGGTCCTTCCTATCATGAAATTAGGGAGTGGAGAGTAAATTGGCGATCTTCAAAGATGAATGGAAGGCAGTGGGTTGCACTATAATGTCTGATGGATGGACGGACAAGAAAAAACGAGTACTTTGTAACTTTTTGGTTAATAGTCCTCGTGGAACTGTATTTCTTGAAGCTGTTGACACATGGGAGTTTTCGAAAACTACTGAGAAGGTGTTTGAGATGTTAGATAGAGTTGTTGAGAAGGTTGGGGAAGAGAATGTTGTCCAAGTTGTGACGGATAACGCTTCAGCTTACAAGGCGGGAGGACAAATGCTGATGGAGAAGAGGAAGCATTTGTTTTGGACACCATGTGCAGCCCATTGCTTGATTTGATGCTAGAGGACCTTGAGAAAAATATTAAGGTGCACAAGACTACAATTAGTAAGGGGAAGAAGATCACCAATTTCATTTATGCAAGAACAATGTTGATTGCCATGATGAGGGAGTTCACTCAAAGAAAAGACTTGGTTAGAGCTGCAGTTACAAGATTTGCTACATCATATCTGACATTGGGCTCTCTTAATGACAATAAGGGTTCCTTGATGAAAATATTTTCTTCTGATAAGTGGAGGAAGAGTAGCTTTGCTAAGCTTCGGGAAGGGAAAAGGATTCAAGGGATTATACTTGATGGTAGATTTTGGAAAGATGTGACGAATTGCCTTAGAGCTGCTCAGCCTCTAGTCAAGGTTCTACGTTTGGTTGATTCTGATGAAAAACCAGCAATGCCCTTTTTATACCTTGAAATGATCCAAGCAAAGGAGAAGATTAAGAACAACTTCAACAATGTGGAAAGAAGGTAATTTTCGAGTTTTACATGCCTATTAACTTATGATACAAACTTGTGTTTTTTATTATTTAAAGTTTGAATTGTATGTCATTTTTATAGATATAAGCCTGTTTTGAAGATCATTGACAAAAGGTGGGAAGATCAAATGAGTAGGCCAATGCACTATGCTGCATATTGGTTGAATCCTCAAATTCATCATTCTCGGGGATTTAGCCATAATGATCCAAAGGTGAAAATGGCATTGTATGAATGTATGACTAGACTTGCAAAGGATGATGAAGAGAAGTTTAGAATAATGGAACAGTTGCACATATTTCATCATGTTCAAGGTTTATTTGATAAGTTTGATGCAATGAAATTAAAGGATAGGCAACATCCAGCTGATTGGTGGACCTCATTTGGAGATGAAGTGCCAGAGCTTCAAAAATTTGTCATCCGAGTCCTGAGTTTGACTTGTAGTGCTTCTGGGTGCGAGCGTAATTGGAGTGCATTTGAGAGGGTAAGTAATAAACTACCCCTACTTTCTTTTAATTATATCAATTATCATGTTTGTTGGTTATAATTTTACAATTTTTTTTGTTGTAGATTCATACTAAGAAAAAGAACAATTTTAATGCACAATAGATGAATGATCTTGTGTATGTCATGTGCAATAACAAGTTGGTGGGAGGAAGTGTCAAGAAAGCTAGAAGGCTTGAAATCGATTTCGAGGATATGGATTCTGAGAATGAGTGGATTTGTGGTAGTGAAAATGAAGAAGAAGGAGAACCACAAACTGAAGATTTAAGGGATGGTGCAGAGGAAGGAATTCATGGTGTTGAAACTGATCATGTTGTTTCTATAGATGAGAATGAAGGTGATGATGATATTGGTGTTCCTGATCCAAGAGTTGATGGTGATCATGCATATGATAGCCCATTTGATGGTGATGGTGATGATGATGATGATGATGATGATGACGGTGATGATTTGGATGTGAACGTTGAAGCGGATGAATTAATGTAATTTCCTTTCTATCATTTATAACATTTGTGTGATTTGATTTCGAGAACTTGGATTATTAAACTCGTGTGTCATTATATTATGTAAACTTCTTAAACAGTTTGTGAGAATTTGGTTTCTTTTAACTCATTTGTGAGTTATGATTTATGTTTATGAACTTATTATTTAGATTTTATGGGTTTTGTCTACTTTCAACATAAATTGCAGGTATTTACTCATTATCTAAAATCTGTACACTCATATTTTCCATAGTACATGCCGAATTTTACAGATTTCTAGCTACTCTACAGGATGCATAAAAAACTTACGTTTTTATGTTTTGATTCTACGTTTTACCATTTTATCCATCTTCAGTTTCTAGGTAGAATCACGTTTTTTACTGCATTGCACCCAGCGGTTTGGTCCAAAAATTTTTTTTTTTCAACCAACTGCTAATTTCGGCCGAAACTTCAAACGAACGTAACTTTGCACTCGGGTATCCGATCGTAGTGATTTTTTTTCATTTCGCATAACTTTTCAAGATCTACAACTTTTACTAGGATGAAATTTTCAAAACAGGAATTAGTTGTGGATATACGGGACCTTGGGAATAACTTTACCTTTACTTTTCACAAATCCATGTACATTTTGACATTATGATTATGTTAAAAGTTGTAGATCTTAAAAAGTTATGCGGAATCAAAAAAAAAATTATGACATTCGGATTGTGGAGCACAAAGTTATGACCGCCCAAAGTTTGACGAAATCAAAAAGGCTCGTTCGGGGTGGCAAATGACGTTTTTTCAAGACGAAGGCGGGACTTGGCGGTTTGCGGCTTGCAAGATCTCAAAAAGTTATTCGGATTCAAAAAATGGAGGCCGCAAACTTTTTGAGATCTTGCAAGCCGCAAACCGCCGGGTCTCGCCTTTCGTCAAACTTTGGGCGGCCATAACTTTGTGCTCTAAAATCCGAACGTCATGAATTTTTTTTATTCCGCATAAATTTTCAAGATCTACAACTTTTAATATAATCATAATTTCAAAATGTACATGGATTTGTGAAAAGTAAAGGTAAAGTTATTCTCAAGGTCCCGTATATCCACAAATAATTCCTGCTTTGAAAATTTCATCCTTGTAAAAGTTGTAGATCTTGAAAAGTTATGCGAAATGAAAAAAAAAACCGCTACGATCGGATACCCGAGTGCAAAGTTACGTTCGTTTGAAGTTTCGGCCGAAGTTAGGAGTTGATCGGAAAAAAAAATTTGGACCAAACCGCTGGGTGGGGTGGCGGTTTTGGGCCAAACCGCCACCCCACCCAGCGGTTTGGTCCAAAAAATTATTTTTTTATAACCGCCCCTTAGCCCCGCGGTTTGCATAGAAAACCGCACCCCCGTCCAGCGGTTTTCGTGTAAACCGCAGGGTGGGGTGGCGGTTTTTGAAAAAGGTGGTATTTTTGGAATTTTTTGGGGTTGAGTGGTATTTTTGGAATTCTTTTTTAAAACAGTGGTATTTCTGGAAAAAGTCACAATAGTCCTCTACAATTCAATAAATTTGTATCAAAAGGAAATTCCTTTGTGAAATTGTAAGGCAAACTGATATGTTATCGACCGAGCTATATATGAAAGAGAGAGATATGTATAGTAAACTTACATGATAAGACAATCCACCCACTATGAACAAGGTTATCTTACCTCAATACGATGAGATATGTATAGTAAACTTACATGATAAGACAATCCACCCACTATGAACAAGGTTATCTTACCTCAATACGATGATAACCCCTTCATAAAATCCATTCTAGCATCCTTCGAAACTTGTTTTGGCACTGATAGGGGTTATAGTAAACCCATTGGTCTCAATGATGAAGACTTAACCCACTTACAAGTATCGCATGAAATCACATACTCACCAACTACCCACCCATAATAGGTTAGTCAAAATGACCCTAAACCTTGAAAAGGTTCTATCCTGTCCCAAAGGGAGTTGATAAAGGTCGTCCTAAAAATTACTAATGATCGTCCTAAAAAACAACGAAGTTACACTTTTAACCTTTTAACATCTTTACCTTTCCTTTAGCAAACAAACACCACCTTCACTTAGAAAGCAAAAAACACTCATTCTCCCACACTCTCAAATTCATCATCGACATGTGGAAGCCGAAATGGTCGAGGATACGTCCGAACAATCAATAGCGACTCCGACGAGGTAAAAATCTCGATTTTTTTTTAAAACCCAAAAAACCTCAACCGAAGGTAATTTTCGGTTAGTCCATGGTTCAACCGAAAATCGGATTCGGTTGAACCATGGACCAACCGAAAATCACATTCGGTTATGCCATGGACGAACTGAAATATGTTTCGTTTGGGCCATGGTTGAAACGAAATTTGGTTTCGGTTGATCCACGGTAGAACCGAAACCTTCCTTCGGTTAAGCCATGGAGGAATCAAAAATTAACTTCGGTTAAGCCATGGTGGAACCGAAAATTGGCTTCGGTTAAGCCATGGTGGAACCGAAAATTGTTTTTTGTTGTTGGATTTTGGGTTTTGGGTTTTTTTTAGTTTATATCAAATATTTCTATTCTTTTGTTATGATTTATAGTTTGGTCTATAAGATAGTTTGTTGAATTTTAGTTTATATTATTTTTCAAATTTATGAGCATAATTATTTGTGAAATTGAATGCTTTTGTATACAAAATTAAGATTAGATGTATAATGCGCAAATAAAAAATAGAAAAATCTAGAATATGATTAATATGATTCTTACATTAGATGTATATTATGTAAATAATAGAGAATGCTAAATTTTGCCATGTTAATGTTGGATTTTGCTTAGGAGAATATAGCGAATGCTAAATTATTTGGGATAATTGTTAAATTAAATGTACTCGTTAGATTTTATATTATTGTGGAGCCCTACTTATATTATGAGATCTAACATTGTAGGAAATTGATGATTACGGAGGGGATGACGAAGATTACACCTCAGAATTCGTCAATGGAGTAAAATACGATACGGATTTGATTGCATATGCAGCAGCTACTGAGATTGCCAAGGGTTTTGGGTTTTATTTGGTGAATCCATCAAATAAAAAAAATTCCAAGCGAAGATAGTAGGCGACGGTACTTGAAGTGCACTCATGGTAGGAAGAAAAAATCGAAGGCTCATGATTCTGATCTGGCTAAGGAAAGGAGTCCTCTTACTTCTTCTGAAAAGTTGGGATGTGAAATTCAGATCAAGATTGCGTGGTCAGATGATGGATATTGGTTGATACTAGCAGTGGCTAATACAAAGAATCCCGGTGCTAATTTAGGTTTTCACAATCATCCGCTGGAGCTATTTCTGAATGGATCAAGTAAGAGGAATGTTTTGACCGAAGATGATAAGCAATACATCAGACAACTAAGATTAGCCGGTGTCTCCCCAAGGAATATCCACAAGGCAGTGAACGAGAGAAAAGAGGAGCATGGAAAGGTGAACAAAAGACAGATTTCTAACGCATTGTATAAGATAAGAAAAGAAGAGCTTGGTCAGAGGACGGCTTTACAGTACACTTTTCAAGATGCTCGGGAGAAGGGTTACTATGTTCAGTATGTGGATGACCGTAACGTGCTTACACACTTGTTCCTAGCCCACCCTGAGTCATTATTGATGTTGCGAGCTTGGCACCATGTCATCGTGATAGATGCAACATACAAGACCAACAAGTATGAGTTTCCATGGGTTGAGATTGTTGGCATGACACCGGTGGGATTGAACTTTGTCATTGCATCTGCGCTAGTGTATGACGAGACAAAAGATTCGTACCAGTGGCTTCTCACGCATCTGCAACATTTGCTTGGCTCTATCACTCCAGATGTATTTGTCAGTGACAAAGCAGGAGGATTGGTTGAGACCGTGGGGGTAATGTTTCCATCATCAACTCATATACTATGCCTTTGGCATGTAGACAGGAATGTGAGAGCACGGTGTCTAACGGAGGTGAGGAGGACGTCTCATTGTGGGATAGATGCAAAACCGACAGTGGATCTGATCATGGTGTCTTGGAAAAGGATTGTATATGCCGACAGTGAGGAAGGCATGAATAGAGCTTTAGACAGTTTCAGGCGTAGTTGGGGAGTACAGTATCCACGTCTTTGGAGGTACTTGTCAGTTGAGTGGTTACCAAACAAGCACATGTGGGCAACATGTTATACAAACCAAGTGCGACATTTGGGTAATACAAGATCAAATCGGGTTGAATCTGCTCATGCATCCTTCAAGAAGTGGCTTCAATCATCAACTGGTGCAATCGACACGGTTAGTCTCTTAATAAATTTTCATTTATGTCTTCTTTAGAAGTTTTAATTAATCTAGTATCCTAATTTTCTTTCTTTGTTTGTAGGTTTATAAGAAGAACCATGATTACATTGAGGCTCAACATCTTCAAATCCAAAAGCTTCTAGAGGATTCTAGATTAAAGAAGATGTTACTAGAGGACGGAAGACCATTTCGGGAGTTGCATACAAATGTCACTCTACAGGCTATGAGGTTGATGCTCATCGAGGTATCAGTGGAAGGAGCAAGTTGTACATGTACGTTTCTTGCTATCCTTGGTCTCCCATGTAGATGTGCAATGCAGTTAGCACGTTCTGAAAAGCGGAACATTGCCCCATATGAGGTGTTAGCTTTTTGGACCATTATGAACTATCGTGAACCTCCTACTCGGGCAGAGTGGGATGACCATAGTCTTTACCATTGTGATGTCTTCCAAGGTCTAGTACAGGAGGTTCTTGATAGGGGAGATGCGACCATTCGAGGGGCTATTGGCCTACTTCGGAGTCATCTTCATCCTGAAAATGATGGCATTGATGAGCCGCATAGGGGGCAGCCCTGACCCAGTCACCCGAGGACATCCACCACGCGAAACCTATCTCACTTCGAGCATGTGGAGAGGAGACGGGGGAGGAGAAGTTCGATACCTCCGACCACAACATCGGACAATGACCAGAGGACAGGTAGGTTGTACTTTTTGGGAAATTTATGTTCAATTGTGTAGAATATGATGTATAACTAACTTATTTTTGTAAATGATATTAGGTGGTATCCCTAATTCACACACCAACTTCGAGTCTACAAATACGAATGGGACGGAGCCGGATACTCATAATGATACAGGTTAGAAGTAGTGTCCCTATTTTAGATTATTAGATGTTATATACATGTTGTATTAATTCATTGTATTGTGTATTTTGGGACAAATGGTGCCCCTTTGAGGGTTGTCAAGACTCCCAATACTGGTTGGCGGAGTTACCCGTGGTTGTATTGTTTGGAAACATACGTGCAACCATACATTCGTGGTTGGTTCAACCCACGCCCAGATGGACATTGCGGATTTCGAGCAATATCACAAGCACTTACCGGGACCAAAAACAATTGGATGCAGATGAGACGCGTCATTGCAGAAGATCTTGAAGCCCGACCTGAGCTTTACCGACCATACTGCGATGGAATTTCCGACGAAATAGATAATGGGATTCGACGTTGCAGGTGGACTCAAGATCGTGGTTGTGACGTTACCCATTGGATGGATAATGTGGAGCTTTTCGTCTTTGCCACATTGCATTCATGGGCAATTGTTGTCTATAGTCAAGGCGGTCGTTATACCGTGCTACCTGTGATTGCCCCACCAGGAGTAACAAGACCACGTGGGATCATATCACTACATTTTACGTCTTGACTTTCGACCTGGTCAAGTGCCATTGCCCCCGATTAATGGGCTTTGGCCTATTTATCATGATCCTAGTGTCCATGGTTGGGACCAATTCTTCTGAAAAGAACGTCAATTTTATGATAGTTTAAACCCAGACGGTTGATGGTTAGATGTAGTTGTAGTTATTGTATTTGATGCAACTTTTGATTTACTATTTTAGAAATGCAAAAGAAAAAAAGTCCAATCATCTTAAAATTCCAAAAGTTAGATCATCTCACGGGCAAAGACAAACTAGCAATTCCAAATAAAAATAAAGTACAAGGATAACAAACTAATAGTCCAAGGATAACAATCTAGAAATGCCACACTCCACTACGGAGTCGCTCCGACATACTGGTCATACAACTCGTGAACCACACTCATCATATCGTAGTACTCAGATGCATGCTCCACATAGTGATCATTGTCCCTTACCACCAACACAGGACCAAGCTTCTCCACAATCTGCTTCCTCAACTGTAAATACAAAAATAATGTCATGAATGAAAAAAAAAACATATGAACAATACATTAAAAATTGAACAATTATGACATAACTAACCTCATCGACTAGCAGTGGCCGCTGTAGAGACACTCCACCAGAGTCCGGATTGATGATACGTGGGTGCGATCGAGTCCGATACCAGTCCATGTAATCCTCATCAGCCTTAGATGGATACTCGCACAAGTCAGAATCAATCGCTATGGGTAGAAAATGAGACGGCAAGTTGCCCCATAACTGATCCATGCTACCCTCCCAGAAAACGATGTAGGTGCTGCAAGAAGTTGGGCGGTACACATCCTTGGGAACCATCATCGTACGGGGGATAGTCTGTTGGTACCCAAACTGTCGCGACACCGTGCAGGATCATAACCTCAGCAAGGTCAGCAAAGCGAATGACACCAGTATACAAATAGCGTAGTACCTCTGTGCCAGCATCTCGCCCGTAAGGAGTCCAAGACACATCCTCCCCTGACATATCATCCAACATCTGTCGATACCGTACCAAGCGCTTTCTAGCATCATCACCACCTGCAAAGCGGTGACACACCCACGAGGAAGCACGAGGATCATCTGGAGCTTGGAGAATCTGGCTCGGGCGGATGAGTGGAAAGTACTCATATATCCAAGCCTGAAGCAGAGTCAAAAAACCACAAATACTCTTACTCCCCACTCGTGTGGCCATCCCTAGTTGTCTCTAGAGATATGCGAGTGCAGCAGCTCCCCAGGCGTAACCGGCCACTCGTCGCTGGTCCTCCAAAAATACATTGATCGCGGGACGGAGGCGATCGCGACTTTTATCCACATAAAGTGTGGATCCCAACAACGCAAACAAGTAACACTGCACCTCTAGGTCCCTAATCTTCATTTCTCGTCCACGCACTAACAATCCCTCTGCGGGTATACCACCATTAAGGAACCACTTTGACTTCCACTTACCACCAACAGGACCATCCACCAGGACCCGAACTAGATCATGCATGTCTAACTTAAGAACATCCGGATGCGGATCATCTCTCATCAGCTCCCCCCTCAACTGGAATACGAAGAATGTGATGCACGTCGTGGAGAAGAATCGACATCTCTCCAAATGGCATGTGGAAGGTGTTTGTGTCCAGCTGCCATCTCTCCACAAATGTCGTTATTAAAGTTGTATCTAAATGTTGCATCATACACCTTGCCAAGTGGGACAATCCTGTGCTCTCAGCCACCTTCCGAGAACCCTATGAATTCCACTCATATCTCCTCAAAGACTCCACACACCAGATCTATGACAACAATCCAACAACCCACGATCCTGCGCAGGGGAAGTCCACAATGCAAAGGCTATGTGACCTCCAAAGCTAGGGATCACATCGGGAATCACAGGTCCACCTGAACACAGTTGAGACTCTGATGTCAGACGCCACGACATGTCCCCCCTTACTCCCTTCTTCCTCTTCTTACCATCACTGTCTTCCTCACTACTACGTCTCGCAACGTAACATCCATCTAGCCCACGCTGTGGAAAGTGCGAAGAAGTAGTAGAAGATGTCCCAACTCGTGTCTTCTTCGCGATGCCTACATCATATTCAGGTGGGACATGCCCAACCTCATCAACATCCACATCATCATCGTCGTCGTCGTCCATAGAAACTGAATCACTCCAATTAGCCTCCCACGGCGTCGCATCCTCAGGTGTAGGGATGGAGGTAGTACCTCGACTGAGAGATAACTGCCCCATAGTAGGGCGACCGTCGGGACGCCCTACTTTCGCCTTCTTCTTTTTCCCCTTAACCTTACGTGGATTTTTTTCTTCATTTTCTTTTCGACTAGTCGCTGTAAGTCTACAAGCACGACCTTCCATTCTTCCTTCCGTTTTTCTTCCATTCTTTTCTTATTCATGTATGGTTTGCCTATTCCATGTCCATACATCTTCAAAAAAAAATTACAATTAATGATAATCAAATACATTAACATTTTCTGATAATTTTGTCTAATTCTTTTGTAATTTATTGATAATTTATTAACACTAGTTACAACTTTCTTAGTCATTTTGTCTAATTTCGGCTACTTTTTAATTTGTTCCATTATTTCTAATATTTTCTAACATTAATTATAAATTTAAAAATTATATTTCTAAATTTTGATACTTTTTAAAATTTTCAGAAAATTTTCAATAATTTTTTTACATTATTCACAATATTTTTTCATAATTTAATTCATAAAACTATTCGAATATAATTTTTATAATTAATTATAAATTGTAAAACTTATTTATAATTAACTAAAATTTATTTCTAATTATTACTTAATTTAGAATATTTAATAACAATTTTTATTAATTAATTGTATAAAAATTATTTAAAAATCAAACCAACCGAACATTGACTTCCGGTTTGACCATGGCTCAACCGAACATTGACCTCGGTTTGACCGGAGGCCAACCGAACGGCGACTTTGGTTAGTTGAAGGGAGAAGACTGCCTTACCTTCTCCGGTGGGAAACGAACAGGCGCAGGCGACGGCGTCCGACGGTTGCTGGGGATGGTTGTGCCCTGGTGCGGCCGCGGCTGGAGGCGCTTCGGACAGCGACTGGACGCGCGGCGGACGTTGGGCGGAGGCGCTACGAACGTCGGGTTGGCTTGTCTGCTGTCAGCAGAGAGGAGAGAGGGGAAAGGGACGGCGGGTTGAGGCGCGACGGATGGCGGAGGGTTGGCCGGGTTGCTGTCGGCAGGGATGAGGGAGGGGAAGGTCGGCGGCGTGGAGAATTTGGCCGGTAGAGAGGATGGAGGGGAACGGTTTATTCAGGTGGGAGGGTTGTTTGTTCTGTATTTTCAATTTGAAATTCAAATGGGTAATTTGGTAAATTACGTATTAAGTTAGGACGATCGTTAGTAATTTTTAGGACGATCTTTAACCATTCAAGTCCCAAATTGCCACCAAAACGAGATCATGAAACGCCGAAGACATACTAGTAATGAAAGAGGAATTGAGTGGAAAGACACTTGCCCCTTGGAAAATACCAATCCATTCGAAGAATTTTAAAGGTTGGATACAATCACTCATGACATTCTTATAACTAGGTAGGGGTGGGCAACCGGTTCGATAAACCCGAATCGAACCGAAATTCCGACCAAAAAACCGAATTACTATAATTCCATGTTCCAAATGATGGATTTTTATGTTTGTAATTGTTTTTAAACTTAAATATTTGAAACGTGTTTGTGTTTTATGACTATGTGTTGAAATATTTGATTTTATCATTGATGATCCATATAATTGCATATTTATTATTTATATTAGGGGTAAAAAATCATTTAAAAGGGGGAAAATACAAGTAGCCTCACATATTCGGTTTTGAGTGAAATTCCGAACCGAACCAAACCGAATTATAATTCAATTTAAACCGATCGAACCGAAATATACTTCGGTTTGAGGTTTGGGGAAATTCAGGATCCCGGTATTCATAATTTCGGTTCGGTCGAAACCGTACCGTCCGAATACCCACCCCTAGACTAGGCACTCTAGAGTACTGCCTCTTGAATATCGTCCTAGAAGTTAGCCAATGGTTGAAACAATGCAACTAGTAGTGCGCACCCAGACTTCTTGATAATTTAGAAGTTAGTAGGGCATGACTTTTAACAAATCTCGTAATCATTGCCAGCAACTTAACAAGCCACTTATACAAGTTGGCATTCAAAATCCTCTTGTCTACGAGATGCTAGAGACTCTGGTGATCAGATGTGAAATTTATGGCCTAATAAATACTATCTCCACATTTGCACTAGATTAATAATCGGTACCATCACTTTCTAGCAAGTAAACTAAGCTTCCTTACTGGGAGGTAATGTCTTGACTCTTCATCATCAATGCAACCGGGTGGCAATTTAAGGAAACAACTGCAATGCCTTGCCCGGGAGCATCCACATGAATCCACCCTTTTTCAGTAGATTGGTCTAAGGGCAAGCTCTGAATTCTGATGCTCTTAGGTGAGGTGTTGCACAACCCAAAAGGCATTACTAGGTACTCATAATGTTTATTATGAGTTCGCTAAGGGTGTATGTGTATATATGTTTCATTCATCCTAATCTGATAGTACCCTACTCTCAAGTGAAGTACTATGCTCCATGCAACTCATCAAGCATATCAGCTAGGCTTCCAAGAAACATTTGGAGTTTTTTTGGTTTAGCTCTAGCCTGAGCAGGTACAACACGCATTTTGCTCAATTTCTTAATTGTAACAATTAAGTAGTCCTCTTTTGGTACAACCTTCTGTATATCGTCCCACCTTCAGATTCAGCATGTATCTCTCTCTCGGTCCGTATCCCCATGGGATTGCTCAGCAGCCATCCATCGCTGTCACATGGTAGGCTCGAGTCAACCTCGTCGATGTGCTGCATCACGATGGACTCTGCATCGAACTGGTTTCTCATGTCGAGAGCCACGTCCAGTACGTCAGACTGCAGGAACACCTAGTGAGTCAACAGATCGACATTATGGTCAGAGGACACTGGAAACGGATGATTATACTGGACCCGTCGTACTATGTATATAAGCCTTCTACCTTTCCCCCGGGGACTAAACTATCAAGGATAGAAGCAACTAATGGCTGTTGCACAACTCTTCTCTTGTGATGCCTCTTCTTGAAATGAGGATCTGGACACTGCACACGTGAAGTTATAGATAAACCTTGGAATGTTGCCCCGAAAGAACAAGTATTCACGAAACTGATCGGGTAAGTGAGTTCGACACACGCGAGAGGTAATGCTTACCAAGATCGAAACTAGTGTCAATGGCCCAGGATAAGAGACAACCAAGTGTCTGAAAGACACAGCAGCATTTGCAAATATGAAATGACTGCCAAGAGTTAAACACTCACATTGATGAGCATATTAAGCACAAACGTAAATCCATAGTTGGATAGAAAGTTCTGCTTGAAAAGAGGCTTACGCATTAGTAAGAGCCAGATCTTTTACCCACGATTCAGCTCGCTTGACCAGCTGTCATTGGTGTAAGAACAAGTATTAGCTTAGCACGCAGCTGAATGAAAAGGAAATGCAACATTCAAGAAGAACTTGGAAATAATGTAAGAGCTTCATCCCATACTTTCTTCCGTATTTCCAAGCCCAAGTAGTTCCCGGAATCCGGGTTTCGTTTGGCAAGCCATACAAGGAATCTGCCACTCCCTGTATATCGATCAAATGGCAACTATCCCCATTACAAATGCCTTCTCCACAAGTGCATAATTGACTGAAACTAGCAGCTCAAAGGAAACTAGCAGATAAACATAACCATGACACTATATTGGAGTACATAGCAAGCATATAGAGAAATAGCTTACCACATCCAATGTCCACCATGAGTGGAAGTGTTGGGTCCCTGAAAACTTCCTTCCAATCAGGCACTGGTGCCGGCGCCTTACCACATTTTTGGCCATTACCCCAACTTGACAACAATTAGTTCTACAGAAAGGGGTGAAAAAAAGGATAATCGCAAGCACAATTGGTTCAATTCAAACTAACTTACAGAGAAAGAGGAGCTCAAAGGGTTCACATGTTGCCTGATTCTCACATGACCCACGTCCTGCAAATCGAAAAAAGTTTCAATCTTTTCGCTGCTGCTTTTGAATTTGAACGAGGAGGGAAGCAAAAAAGGGAAGTATATGGTACCGCCGGGGGAAGGTTAAGGTCGGCGTACTCGAGAGAAACCAGGTCAGTGCTCATCGGTTGCTTGACTGCATCCAAGCAAGCGTTCGCTCTTACACTGAAACCGCGGGAATCGGCGGTGAATTTGGAGAAGGAACATAGTGATGGCGATTTTGTTATGGAATGCGATAGAGCTAGCTTGGCCGCTGCTGCCATGGGAGGAGAACTGGTAGCACCGCCGCCGCCGCGGCCGCTGGTTGCATTGTAGAAGTTGTGGGCTTCGCTGTGGACAAATTAGTTTGGAGAAATTTGGGCCTTCTTTTAGATTTTGGGAAATCTAATAAGGCCAAATCAGCTAGGCTTTGAGGCAAATACCCAAAACTTCTTCTGGCCCATATCTTCTAGTTAAAGAGAGGAAAACTGTTTTGGTAAATTGCAAGGTTGGTCACTAGTATTGCTAAAAATGTTCATGTTTGTTCACTATAAATATTTAATTCCATTCGTGGTCACTAACTTTATATTCCTATTTCTTAAATGATCACTAATCGTCCATTTTCGTTAACTTCATCTTACGTGGCAGTCAACTCTGATAGTTGACCATTAAATGTGTGACGTGAGCGTGACAATTAAAAATGAATAAAAAATTTAATATTTTAAAATTACCAGCTCATTATCACAAACTAATTGATTTTGTTCCATGCCACCATTACAACCACTGGGACGCTGGTCACTCTTGCGGAGTGCGTCATAGAATCGTTGTCGACGGAGGTTTAAGATAAATAAGTAAGAGAAGGGGATGTGAAATAGAAATAATTAAGGGGAGATGGGAGGGGTGTAGTTCGAGACTTCAGGAAAACAAGGGTTTCAAGGATTAATATTAATCGTTCAAGAATCAATGGGTCTTCTAGTTAGGGATGGCAATTTCGACCTGACCCGTTTTACCCGACCTGTTTGACCTGTTTTGGGGTGGGTCCGACCCGCCCCGTAGGCGGGGCGGGGCGGGCATGGGTAGTCTCATCGACCCGACCTGCCTTGACCCGCCCCATTCTCGACCCGTTCTTGTCTAAATTACATGTAATCTTAGTCAAATTACTTAGAATTTTCCTTTTATTACATCATATTTTAGCTATAATAAAGTTGTAAATTAGTAAAAACCTCAACTTCTCCAATAATTTAACTACAATTGTCATAATATTGTTTGTTTTCTTAGTCTTATAATAAAAATAACGAATATTTCTAATGTTTTCATATAAATTGCATACCCATTGGGTCGACCTGCCCCGACCCGCGACCCGTGATCAATTACCCGACCTGGACCCGACCTGCCACGGGGCGGGTCTGGGTACCAAGAAACCCGCCCCGGACCTGCCCCATTGCCATTCCTACTTCTAGTGGCTGGAAATCGCACCTCCTTCAGGTCGCTGAATCTAGGGCTTTTTTTGCTTTCTAAGTTGAAACAATCAGAGTTGATTGCCACATAATGAATGGAGAGTGACCATTTACGAAACGAGAATATAAAATTAGTGACCTCGAATATAATTAAATATTTGTAGGGAAGAATTTTTTTTAGAATTCACGACCAATCCTTGCAATTTACCCAAAACTATTTTGACTCAAGGTTGTCAACCCGCGGGTTGACCCACGGGTCGACCCACTTTGACCCTGATCCGGTGAGAAAAACGGGCCGCACGCACCCGCCGGGCCGACCGCTACAAGGTACTGGGTTGGAGGTCAAATTGTGTCATTTTTTTCATTGGTTTACGAAATGCGCCTATTTTTCAGATTCTTCTTTTCGCCTAGCTCAAATTTTGGAATGCTAAGTTGAACATTTGAATATTTATGTTATATAAGTGTGTGTGAATTTTCACTATATGTTGGATCTATATACGATATTGTATTTTGGTGTAATATTATATGTTATAACTCATATGTTAGATAAGATTTGATAAAATTTATGAGGATAAGTACAATATAATGATTTTTTCCATATTTCCGGGCCAAACCGGACTAAAACGGTTGACCCATTAACTCTTGACCCACTAGCTCGACCGGGTCCGGGTCAACCCGCGGGTTGACAACTTGATTTTGTCCCATTCCACACGGGAAAGTTGCACGTCATTCCATAAAAAGAAATAATTCCACGTCCCAAAACCTGCTTGAAAAAGAAGCCAGCCGAGCTGTACAAACTCGGGAAACCTCCGCCTTCTCCTTTCTCCTTAAACCCTCAACCCTCTCTTCGTCTCTGTCTCTACTCTTCACCCTTCCCAATAAATATCCACAGCCAAGAAAACCTTTTGATCTCTTCTTCGTCTTCAGGACGATGGACGATCAGAGGTTCCGTAAGTACCACCCGTACCAGAATTTCTACAGCGTCCCTTCGCAGAGCCTCTACAACCTCCCCACGTCGCCAGAATTCCTCTTCCAAGAAGAAGTCGCGCGCCAGCGGCGGAGCTGGAGCGAGAATCTCACCTACTACACCGGCGCGGGGTACCTCGGAGGTGCGATCGTCGGCGGCGCGAAGGGGACGCTCGATGGGATCAAGGCGGCCGAGGCCAGCGACAGCATGAAGGTGCGGGTGAACAGGGTTTTGAACTCCGGCGGGCACAGTGGTCGGCGGTTGGGCAACACCATAGGAGTTTTGGGTCTGATGTTTAGCGGGATCGAGAGCAGCTTGGTTGCGTTGAGGGATGAGGATGATTTGGTTAACACCGTGGTTGCTGGGCTTGGAACTGGGGCGATTTATCGAGCCGCTAGAGGGCCCAGATCGGCGGCGATTGCTGGTGTTATTGGCGGTATCGCCGCCGCTGCTGCTGTCGCCGGGAAGCATGTTGTTAAGAGATATCTTCTTGTGTAGTAAAAACATGTCATTCGATTCTTGGTAGAAATTGGATCTTTTGTTCTCTCTTCACTCTTGCAAAGATTTTATCTTTAATTGATTAACAGTGTAGGATTGCATCTCTAGATTTCGAATTCAGCTATACATTGAATCTCACATAGATTTGATGATTGATTGACAAAATTTCATAACTTGGAAGCCGACGATTGGAAGAAATCTTTGTTTGTGGCCGCATCAATAGTCTGAAACAGCAAAGTAAAGCTGCAAAAGGAAGGTGCAGGGCTATTTGCATTTGGAATTCACCATTTATTGTTTTCACAAGTTGTGACCAAAGTAAAACTCAGAACCCAAGTAAAAAAAAAAAAAAATCTCCAGATTTCACCCTACTCGACAGCAAGAACCAGTAGCAGGATCCAATGGATTTACATCCATCCTGCAACACCCAAAAAAGAAAAAACAACCACAATCCCAGAAGAATCCCAATGATTATATATGTTCCTTTGCCACCAAACGGAGCCATCTTTAGCATTTATTCTCCTTCCACAAACAAAACCACCACATGAAAGACATTCATCTTTGAGGTGGATCTACAGTTCGGACATTGGCGCTCCCCATCCCCTCGATTCGATCTTTGGTGATCTCCACAAAATGACCCACTATCTCATGAAACTGCTTCAGCCCAGAGAGTGGAAGAATTATAGAGGACCTATCAGAACCAGCTACCTGCAAATTTTGTTACCATCAGCTCCAATGTCAATAGAATTAATTTGCAGTACTGCTCAAGCTAACTCACCTCAGAGATCCTCAAGAAATGGCCTCTGTTATTACTCCCAAGATCGAAGAAGAATCTCTTCTGATCAGCTCGGATAACCTTTGACACTCCCAGGTTGCCGATCTCATCCTGCGTTGGCAGGTCAACTGCCCGGTCTACATTTAGTTCAGAAGTTGGAGCAGCCTGCTGACTGCTGTGCCCGGATATAAAGCCAGCGCCTACATCATCAGAAAGTCCAACTAGGCGCTCTGAAGTTTCAGAGTTTTGCTGCTTGTAATAACATACGCACAGGTATAGAACATGTGAGATTTGTCTAACTCTTACCCTTCTCCGGGTGTAGTTTGTAACAGTAAAGAGATTAAACAGTCACCTGATTGGGCAGCATGTAAAGCCTTGAAGCTTCATTAATATCTGCCAAGATGTTCCTAAAAGAAGCCCAACCTTCATCCCTAGAAGTTCCAGCAGGAACAATGATAGTACTGCGGTTTCTACTAACAGAAGCTTCAGAGACCTGCAGAAACACAGAGTGATAAACTACGATTCTAATTAACAATCCAAAAAATTTACTACAAACTTTCAGAGTTTAATCTTGTGGATAAACCAATACACTAAATTGTCCTCTTTTCACAGCCACGCTACTGATTGGCAGCTCACAAAACTAACATATTTTGACAGTATTGAGAAACTAATTCAAACTTCCAAATTCGCCATACAGTAGGGGCAACACATATAATGCATATCCCAGTCTATAAATGTTCAACAGCCTAAAACAGGAAAAGCCACTAAATAAAACTGCCACATCCCTTTCCTTTTAAGTTTTTTTTTTTTTTTTCTGAATTATACCTTCATAGCATACCAAGAAAGACTGGAAAAAATAGGAGTCCTTCCCAAAAGGAATTCTTTGAGAAAGAAAAATCTTTACGAGAAATGTAAACAAGAATGAGTACCAAGTTATACCTTGAGAAAACGCCCTCTTCTATTTTCCCCAATATCAAAATAAAACACCTGCAATATAATAGACAAAAGGCAACACATGAGTAAGAGAATTCAGAAAGGGAACTCAAGAGCAAGAGAGACCGAGAGATGTAGTAATGTAAGTAGAATGGCGGAGAGTTGCCTTAGTGTCCAACTGTAATTCCTTGCTGAAGAGGTCATGCTCATCAGAATTGACATAGTAATTGAAGAGGTCCAAGAACCAGGAAATCCCAGAGGAAGGGACAATGATAGTAGACCTGGTGGACGATGTCTTCTCAGATATCTTCAAGTACCGGCCTCTTGGGTTCTCCTTTAGATCAAAATAAAACAGTTTGTGTTCAACTTGAAGAGTCTTGCACATGAGCTCAACATCATTCCCTCCTCCACCTACACCACCAGCAGCTCCTGAGGCTGCTGCCGCCGCCGCAGATGCTAACCCTCCTCCGCCAACACTGCTGCCTCCACCGCCAGAATTTCCCTCCATCTTAAAGAGGGCAAGAGAGAGAGCCGGTGGACTTGAAAATGTTCACAACTTGGATGTTTTCTTGTTTCAATAACCCTGTTGGGTGACTATATGTTGCAGCAATCTACTCTGAAGCCTACAGTGAGGAGATATCAATAGGGGAACTTGAATGCTCGTGCAGTCAACTGGAGCTAAGTGGTTACACCTTAGCA